GCACACGCTGCACCCTGGGTTTGATCCCCCGTTTCACCCTGGCGAGGGGTTCCTGCCAACCCCCGGCTCAGGACGAGCACAGGGCGCTGCTCGTTACCTGCTTCCAGGCACCGGGGAGGGCACACGCACACGAACGCTGCCTTCCGCGTGCACAGGCTGGCGCAGGAGGGAGGGAGGACAGGGAGCGCCAGCACCACAGACTGCAGCGGCGGAGACAACCAGCCGCCTTCCGCCAAGATCCGCAGGGATTCACCACCTCTCCACGTGTGCGAGCCCTCTGTGTGTCCAAGGCCCACAGGTACCTGCCAGCCATGTCCTGTTCTCACAAAACCACGTTAGCAAGGCGGAAATGCCAGAACACCTTTAAACAGAGAGACACAATGTTAGCACAGGAGGAAAGACAAGCCAAGGAGCGCCACTTCAGAACAGTGATTTCCCAGGTGCAGAACAGGACCTCTCAGCCTCCTGGGGTTGGACCAAAGCTGTATTTAGCCAAGTCTCTCCAAAGCACTTAACGGGATGCCTACAAACACAAAGGGAGCTCTCTGCTCTCACCCCAGGTCCAAGTTTTAGCAAGTTTCTAAAATACAGACAGACAGAGGGACAAGAGATGGATCATGATTTTTATTTTTGAAGATGTCACTATTAACACACATTAGTCAAGCTATCCTAGTAAACCCTGCAGCATAGACACCTAGGGAATCTAAAACCCTCTAAGATTTTATTAGCTCACGAGACCACCATAAAAAGTCCTGATTTTAGTGTTTACGTAATCGAAGTCCAACAAGGCTGACACTGCTCTCACCTTGTCAGACTAATGTGCGCTTTAGTGACAATATCCATTTACAAATCAATAATACATCATACACTGAGTATCAACCTCAGCTTTACCTCTGGAAAGTGCTAAATGGAGCCATTGAACCAGGTATTTACAATTTCAAATCCTAATATATTTACAATAGAAACCAAAGTATTTAAAACCATTAAATATAGTGTTTAACTCTGCTATATTAGTTTACATGAACACAGCTTACCTCTGGCATCATATTTCCTGCTAATATTTCTGCCAGCATTTTAAGATTAAAAAAAAAAAAAAAAAAAAAGCTACTCCTGGAGGGAAAAATAAAAGCTTAAAAACCAACCCAAAACCTCCAGGCGGTTCAGAGCCCTGAGGAATTACCCACCCTAGACAGCTTCCAAGTAGAAGTACTGTAGTGTTCAGAGATACTTCCAAACTCCAGGCAAGCCTTTAAAACCTAATGCATATGTAAAACTTTCAGAGGCAGTAATCCATCGAGCAGGTTTACTGGAGTCACTGCTCCCGTTCAGTTTTTACTAATCCATAGTCAAGAAGGAAACTGCTGCTTGGCCGTTTCTTCTCCGTTCCGTTCCCTCCACCCCCAGCACGTGTCCGAGCACCGCGGCCGGAGCAGCTAGGTGGGCATCGTCTTCTCCTCTTTGCTGAACGGCTGAACGGAACCCGGCTTTACCCACGACAGGCCAGAAACGTGGCTGCTTTTGCAGTGCTGATCTTCCGGCTTCTTCTAGCACAAGAAAGGTAAAGGCAGAGTTATGAGACACCCTAAACCTTCTCACCGCTCTGCCCGTCCGTTCTAGGCTTGGCTGGACACTCCGTGACACGGTGAGAAGCAGCAGGTACTTGCTCTCCTTATAACTTTCTGTAGACAGCCCCTTCCTGCTCTAAACATTTATCATGGCTAGAATTAATCACTGGGACACAACACAGCTCAGCCCACACGTGAGCTCGACTATTGCAGTTAAAGAAATAAAATAAAGGGGGGCTAAAGGGGCCTGGCACCGCAGGGGCTCCCTGTCACCTGCCCCAGCGCCGCTGCTCGAGCCCAGTGCCCAGCAGGGCCTGAGACTCCACGGCCTCTCCCGGGGCTCCTTGGGGCAAAGGAACCACATGCAGAACCAGCAAGAATCCAGAGCTGCTGGACAGGAGAGAGACTGGAAAACACAGGGAATATGAGTAGGCAACTTCCTTTTACAGGAAGGGAAAAGGACTTTCTCAACCATCCTATTGTTTTGAAACA